TTTCTATTACATTTTGGTATACACTGCACTGTAATGAAAAACAAGCCTCCAACTTAATCACCCCAAAATAACATTACAATTTGTTTGTATTCTGTGCAGGAGAGGAGATGAGAGAGCTAGAGTTTATACCCGACTCTCTACTGCAACCCTCCTCAGACAAGATGGCATTTATTGATCGGCTTGCCAACAGTATCACCAAACGCAAGAGATCCACACCACAAAAATTTGTAGGTGAGCATTTGTTCTCAGTGTGGACAGCTTGAGGAAACTGAATTGGAAAACAGATAAAAAAGTAATGCTTTTTTCTGTTCAAACATCTATGATTATCTATTGCTCCAAATCAAATGTTGAAGGGAAACAAGATTTTATGGGCTGATTTTATGAGTTGTTATTTCTACAATAGAGGATACAGGCTCAGGACAATAAAACAAAATCAAACTATGACTCAGTGAAAAAAGAGAATCCTGATAAACATGAACCAAAGCCTACACACACAAAAAAAAATTAGATGGATGTCATCACTTCGATTTTTTTTTTTTATATTCCTTGGAACTACAGGGTATATATTTACACTTTATATATATCAATAACTTTTGGAATTTCAGAAAGGAAATACATAAATCTTGACTCTGAAAGAACTTTCATCTAAGTGCTTTCATCTATGCTTGTAATAAAATTTTAAAAAATTTCTGTATAAAAATACAGATTCTTGCAAAGCTTCTAGTAATTAAGATCGTGTTTCCTCATGCAGGACAGAAGCTTATCCGCCTCAACCTGGCAGATGCACCTTATGAGCTCAGTGCTGGTTTGGATAAAGACAGGGAGATGCACACAGGGGACCTTGAAGCTCAGCACTTTACTGGTCTGGGAGGAGAATATGCAGGTGTAGAGGGTAATGGAGGAGACACACTGAGGCCTCTACACCTTCCCACCACTCATCCTTCATGTTTATCAGAACTAAGGTCAGTCCACAGCTCAGTTCACCCCTCTGGAGCTCTGGGCCCAAGGTTGGATTGTACAGGCACTGGAGCTAGGCTGGGAGCTGTAGGAGGGAGGGAGGCTGCAGAGGGTCATGAAGATCTCCCAGCAGCGCGGAGTCACGCACCTTCCCCTAGCAATGGTTGCCAGGACTCTACTGACACAGAGAGCATGCCGGATGAGCCATGCAACAGCACTGCACCGACTCCAACTCTACACAGCAACAACCGCAACCATCTCCTTCACTCTAACAACCATCACTCAGCGCCTCCTCATCACGCACACCACAGGAGTCGGGAGAGACACAGTCCCAGCCATGCCAAAGATAGGGAGGTGAAAAGAGAGGATGTGGGTCACTCAGCTCTCCCAACTGCTACCCTCGCACCAACTCCCAGCTCACCCACAGCACCCTCCTCTACCTCTAGAGAGGCTTTTCGGGTTGTAGACGGGGAGGGTCGAGCTGTGCGATCTTTCCGCTGTGAACACTGTCGTGTGCTTTTCCTGGACCACGTCATGTTTACCATCCACATGGGCTGCCATGGGTTCCGGCAGCCTTTCGAGTGTAACATCTGCGGCCACCGAAGCCAAGACCGCTATGAATTTTCTTCACACATTGTCCGTGGGGAGCACATCCTCGACTGAAGGAAAATGGCGGACAATCTGCTTTGGATCGAGCTGATTTTACACTGAGACAAGGACCTTTCTGGGTTTGGTCTGCACAATCGTTTAAAGAGACAAAGAGGAAATGATAGGAATCTCTCAAACAGGCTGTGATGAATTTAGCATTGATGACAGGTTTATTTGTGTTTTTTCTTAAATTTTAAAATGGTCCTTATTAATTTGAATGCACTTTGAACAATGGACCAATTTAAAATGCACTTTAATCAAATTTAATCCAAAGTAGATGAAGAGCCAAAGCACTTTTTTCATCTGCACATGTGCCTTGCTCTGAGTTGGGATTCAAACCTGATGCACAAATTGACAAATCTGATGTTTGTCAAGAACCTGAAAGCTTTCACTTTTCATGCACTTTAATGGAGATAAAACAAATGAATACTTAATTAAATAAAGTTCATAGGTTCACCTACATTGGATTCTTAAGAAATTGTATTACCTTGCTCTTAGAGAACTTAATTTGGAACAATTCTCTGACTGATGTTGCGGGTGGCAATGTTTTTATCGAACTTGGGGTTCCTTCTGTACCATAGAAAGCTTGATATAATGTGAGACGAAGTGCAGACCAAACTCAGAAACCGGGTCCAAGTCGACTGGATGTGTTTGCGGGGTCGTTGATGAATTAAAAACTGCACTTTTCTTGTTAACAGGGTTGGGTTGGACATTTTTGAGTGTGTGTTTGAGATAGAGGAAGAACATGACAGCCTGATGTTTTTTGGAGGTGAAGTTGAATAGGTAAGGTGGAAAATGAAGGCCTTTGTGTGAATGCTATGTGGGGCAGTGTATGAAATGTTTGTTGTTGTTTTGTTTTTCTTTTCTATGACTGCTTTGGTTGCACTGATACGTACCAGAATACTTAAATTATATTAAACTATTTTATGGAATACATTGATCTGCACATTTCTCTCAAAGTGTGAGAAAAACTAATGGAAGGTTTTTTTCTCACCAGGGGGAAGGGGTACGAGATTCACTGCCACAGTTTTAGAGATTACTGAAGCGGGTAGGATCATTACAAGTCTTAAACATTTTCCCTTTCATAACTACATATAAGTGAAAACTATCAGTCATTGTTTATGATATATTCAGATCTTATTTTGTTGTTCTATCTCATTGTGATGTGCCTTTCTTCACCCTGATCACACCTTGTTGAGCAGGCTGAAGGACATAAACTTCCACAGTCATATCTTAAGGATCATTGTGGCTGATTATATTGACCATGAGTCACAGAATTGCTTTAAAGTTTTTAAACTAAAGGTTCTGGCTAATAGCTTTGCACAACGATTATCTTCTCCTGTATAACTTAAGCTGGATTGATTTTCGGGAATGAATCAGCAAAGAACTTTGATTAATGACTTCATGTGCATGGCACTTTGCACAAGCTTTTATGACATGAACTAGTGCAGTTTGGAGTGACAGTTTACTACAGTCCTAACAGTTTCATTAAAACAAATGTTATTTGACAGAGTTGTCTTTCACTGGTTTGACAAATGACTTTTTGTCTGCTAAAGAAAATGTGGGGTATTTTTTAAATCACCAAAATCTTTTCAGATTCCTAATGCAGACTGAACAGAAACAAAGGCTTTACATGGATATTTAGTCTTAGTGTTGTGACTGGTTCATTGGTTTCGTCTGATTTCAATAGTGGTGTAGATGGGCAGAAGCTCTGAACTACCGTTTCTGTTTTTGGAATAAAAAGGTACTTGCTTTTAAATTCTTTTTAGATCGCTGTGGCTCTATACAGCGCCACCGGTTCTAATAATGGTTCCTCCATGGCCAAAGAACCACCACTTCTTACTTTCAAGAACTTTTCTTATGAAAGGCTAAATAAAAAATTACAAATCTTATCTATATTTGTACAGAAGAGTATGAAGAAAGAGGCGGCTGTGGTTTCTTCTCATTACTCTTGTCAGTAAAACCCTGTAGATGTAGAAGTTCTTTTTATTCCTGCAGTTTTCTCCAGACTTTTGGTTCTCTTTCAAATAAATATCACAACTGCTAATCTCCATTTACTTTTCATTTTAACAATTGTTACAAGTTCTTAAGTGGACCTACATTTGTTTTTGATTTATTTGTAAAGGACGTTGGTTTCTATCCACTTTGTTGTATGAGATTTAAGAGATAGAAAGTTACTCAGAAACAATGCACTGCAATGATTGTCTCAGTTTAGAAACACAAGCATACATTCAAGGTTTTAATGTTCTTTTTCCGTCCCTACGTACTTTCCTTTTACAGCAATCTAATCCTGCCTTAACACAGGTGTAGACTAATGTAGTTTTCAGAAACCTAACCCAGAGCACATTTGAATTGACATTAATGTTAAATATTAAACACAAAAGTTGTCATGTCGGTTTTGATGGCCAAAAAATGCTTTGACCAAGCATGTACATCGTTCACCCTAATTCCTTGTGTATTTTCTGTTTGCTGGCGACCGTCTGCACAAAGGCCAAGGTGCAATTCTTCTACCATTTGGTGTGATGTGTTGTTGACGTTACTGTTGTGCCTTTAGCCCAAGGTCTGTGTTATTTACTTAACAGTTAAAATTTCACATTTCTGTTGTAAGTGAATTTCTCACTTTTAAAGCCCATCTTTCAAGAGCGCCACATTGTTTAGGCCAGATTTGAAATTGTTGTACACCATCTGTACACTTGAACTAAACCCACTGGCTTGAACCAGTATGATTAAATAGTCCCTCATTGATGCATCAGAACCATAGGTTCTAAGTAATGCAGACTGCTAGCAGCCAAAGATATAACTTGAGATACAATGTGCAAAACCTCCAAACAGAGCTGAAGCCGAAGCTTTTTTTGACGAAGTGTGAAAATGTTACATATTTTTAAAGATTCCATTAATTAGCTAAATCCACAACAGTCTCATCTTTTTTTTTTAGTAAGTAATTTTAAAAAAGCCCATTTCGGTTTTTAAGGGATGTAGATTTTTTTAAATACATAAATATTTTTGTGTTATGTAGTTTTTAAACCTGATGCATGTCAAACCACTGTTTGTTCCTCAGCCACCTTTCTGTTGTAGTCTTAAGGACAACCAAATAAACTGTCTACTCCAACTCTGAAACAAGCTCAGTTCTAATTTTGTTATTTATGGTTTAAATGTTTCTTTTCCAAACATCTCTTTTCCTCCAGATTTCTCAAAAACAGTTTGCTACTGCTTGAAATAACTGCACAGCCTTTTGTAATGTATAAAATGTCATGATGCTCTTGGGTAATAGTTCTGAAACTACTGTAAGTTTTGTACTCTAAGAAACAACTACAAATAAGGTTCTTAAAAGGCTTGTTATTTACAAAACTACACAACCAAATACATTGGAAGAACAACAACCGAATACATGAAAGTTTTTGTACAATTTTGTATTTATTCGTCAAGAGTACAGCATCTTCCAATTCTGCTTTACATGGGCTTTGGAGGAGCTCTTGGTGCACCAGCCTGTAAAAAAAAAAAAAAAGACTTAGTCTTATGTCTATATCAGAGAGAAACAAAACATTTTATGTGGAAGTTACTTGTCATAAATAGGTTGAATGAATAAACTGTTGTGATGAACATGTGTTTTAACTTCCCTGTGCTCTTTTTCTACAATTATTTACAGTCAAATAGTCAAATTCATTCAACACTTCAGGATGTACTATATTAAAAAAGTATAAATATATAATGATGAAAAGTACCTGGGGCCTGAATCTGGGTGGTGGAGTGCGGTCTTTCCTGGCCTCACAGGAGCGATTCCTCACCACCTTACTGTGGATGGCACAGCTGACACAGTAGTGCAGCTTCACGTAGAGCTTTGGTAGAACATAGGCTGCAGACGGGACACAGTGGAGAAAGCTTAGGAAAAGCAACAATGACAAATAGAAAGACACGTTATTAAAACAATAGCAGACACTTACGGTCAAAGACACTAGCCTCTGTGATATCCCTCACAGCCGCAGCCTCCACTATGTTCCTGATGACAAACTTCTTGATGGCCTTGTCCTTTGGGACACAACGGGCACAGTTGGTGCAACGGATGGGTTGCACATGCCCGCGGCCCTTCTTTGCACGACCGTTATTCCTCCTTTTCTTGGTCTGTGGGAGAGAGAGAGAGAGTCACAATTACAAAGATGTAACAACAGACAGTATCAGAAAGGGTTGGGTACTTTAATGTGTTGTACAATAACTGTCCAATACCAAAGAACCAAAATGGCTTATTAGATTCAGACAAACAGTTCAGATTAATTCTATAACTTACATGCCCAAATGTGGTTATAAATCTAACTTATTTTAGTTTGAAAACATTAAAAAACAATACTCAGTTAGACTAAAGTTTGTGAGCTAGTTAATTAAACGTAACATCAAAACAAATGTCCTCAAACCCTTAACAGACTGTATTCAACAATTTGTAATTTGAGACATTTTTAAACTGATTATCGAGTCTAAAAAAAGTGACAGACTATTGTCACTACTGTAAGTGGGAAACGACAATTTGAAGATTAAAAAGACAAACTCTTGCACTTCAGCAGTTTAAGTCCCCATGCCAATATGAAATACCGATAAAATGAAGGTAAATTTAGTTTCAGATAGACTGACTACTCTCCATTAGCAGTGGTATCTTGCAAGTCTTGTTTGACACGGCATCTTAAAATGTGTTCCTGTCGGCTGCCATTGTTACACGGATTTCAATAAAATTGTTTCTCTTTCTCGGTAATAACTGATGCGTTCGTGTAATCTAGCAAGTGAAACTCGGAAATACACTAAAATTCTCAAGCCACGCTACGTTTTAGCGACAGTCAGTCACTGCAGCGTTACCTTTTGCGAGCTCCAGGAACACATGCATTACACAGTTAGCCTGCTTACGGTTAGCATTAGGCCCCAAGTATTTTTTTTAATCACAAAAACCAACAGTTTTGGATCATTGCCCATTTCGTGTCTTAGTAAAATGATTATAACATCCAAACACGTAAAATTACGTATATTTTCGTGACTTAAATACCCTTTTTTGTCCATTTTGCCATGCGGCCACCGCTGAAACACACTCACCATGTTGCACGAGAAGCTGGAAAGAGAACCGGAAGAGGTTGTACCGCGACAAGTAGGGCCATCCGCTCCGCCCTCGAAATATCTTTAATAAAAATTACTAAATATTACAACCTTTTTCATTAATTTTTTTTATATTTTCCTTGTAATTGACTGTTATTTGCGCAGTCTTGCAATAAAAAAATCCCCAAAATGATCCGAGAAGCTTAAATAAGTAACCTTTATTCGCGGAGGGATATTAGTGGTCTCAATTTGTTCCCAAGCGTCTCCCGAGTTGGCGGAGTTCTTAAAAACGCCTGTAACCATTGTAGTAGAGCAACGCCGTACCTTAAAACAAACGTACTTGTTTTCTACCGCTCTTCGCATCATCTACATTTGCCTTCAATCATCTTCATAACATGTAGGCTATCATGGACTTTAATTGGCCATATTAGCTATATATTGATACTGTTGGGAGCACATTTTGTTAAGAAAGTTACGGTTTTAGCTTAATGTGATCAGAACTTGACAATATGTAATTAAACGTGTTTTATTGGCCACATATTTTTCATCTTGATGTTATACATTATACAATAATTTATAGATAAATAGCTGCAACTTAAGGATACTATTAAAGCTACTAATTTCCCACTAATTCAGATTCAACATTTACTTGTCAATACAATTCGGATTCCGATACTATCATACACACACAACCATATAACCACAGCAGTTTGTATGGCACGTCAGGGGGACGTTTAGGGAGGTTTCAATAAATAAATGTAATGAGACTTTTGAAAACAGGACAAGTTTATTCCACGATTTTTTGTTTATAAAATACATCTATGATATCTTACTCTTAACTTAGGCTCTGGAGCCTTAAAGACATGCACTGTGGATCCCTGGTAGGTCCAGATTCAGCACTAGTGGCATCAGCTTCAAAATACTCTGTTGAGTGCAATTAAGGAGATCATCTGATTGCCTTTGTGTTGTCTTGCTTCAGTGCAGTTAAGGGCTCTGAAGATTGATATACAGATGGATAAACACAGCATGGAGATGCAAATACATATGCTATATTAAAGAAAAATCAATAAGAAGAGAGCTTTAAAGCTCCTTTATGCACTCACATTCTGACTATCTCTTGCTATTCCTCTCTTAAAGAGGGAGACATATTTTATTTAGTTGAATCCCCTTGAAGTTGGGACAGTTGTTTTCGAATGCAGATAATTAGATATAAAATATCCTCCAGGTATCCAGGTGTTTAAACACATATTACAGTTATGGAATAATATTAAATAAACATGGAGTACACAATACAATTAAAAAATTTATTTAAATAGTTCTGTCATTTGTCCTTATTTTTTCTTGATCTTCTTATCCTTTGCCTTCTTTTTGCTTGGCTTCTCTGCATTGGCCTTTTTGTACAGGTAAATTCCCACCAGTCCGAGCAGAGTGGGCACCAAGGCTAAACACACGAGGGGGAACACATCGTTGACCATTTTCTGCCACGGCGTCTGCTGCATCACAGAAACCACCTCCACCTCGAACTCAAGAACAGCATCACCTGGAACAAGTTCAAAGTCAGTGTTTCACCACAACAGATGTTGATCATGTTTTCCATTTACTTGTTAATAACTTACACGTATTTATAGAAAAACAGAAGATATCCTACTTAACAGAAACTACTAATCAACCCTGTATTGCTGTAATACTGTTCTATATCGCTGCCTTGTAAAGGACTTTTTAACACTGAGGCTATAGTTTGAAGGCCTACTCCTTTAAAGCTTTTAATAATCAGTAGAAAAACAAACTAACATTTTGATTTTAGTCTTTACAGTGGCTTTGTCAATAAAATAAACAGCAGAACAACACCAGCCTTGTGGTTACAAGCGCTACTGAATTTGATCATCCCTGCTTAGTTTTGCAATGTTAGAGCCTATCACCTGATAGGTTTAAGCCTCTGGGTCGACAGATATTACTGGGCTCTGGTTTACACAGCAGATATCCAGAGAACTGATATCAGATATCCAGAAGACTTGTTCAATAAGCCAGACTTCCAACAACACTACCAGCAGCTCAAACTTAATTGGACACAATCAAAAAGCTTTAGATAAGGGGCGCTGGTGGCGCAGTGGTTAGAGCGCGCGCCCCATGTATGGAGGCTGTTCCTCCAAGCGGGCGGCCCAGGATCAAATCCGACCTGTGGCTCCTTTCCTGTATGTCATTCCCCACTCTCTTTCTCCCTGATTTCTCAATCTATCCACTGTTCTATCTCTCTAATAAAAGCACAAAATGCCCAAAAATAAATCTTCAAAAAAAAAAAAGAAAAAGCTTTAGATAATAAAATCTCGTCTCTTGCAGACAATTCTGCTTCCGGTGTTTTTGATTGTGGTACCTGGAATCGTAGGAGGGTAACCTTTTTTCCCATACGCAAGGTGAGATGGAATAGTGGCTTTGATTTTTTGCCTGATTGAAATAAAAAGATATTAAAAATAAATAACGAGGAAGCATTTCTCAGAATCAATCTCAGAATATCATTCATTCATGATTGTATGAAATGTTAATCTTATGTTTAGCTCTTTCACTTTTTTACTTACCCTTCACACACGCCGACCAAGCTTTGTTCTAGACCTTATGAGAGGACCAAACAGAGAGTCAATCAGCAAAGCAGGGCTGTAAATATCTCTCACATGTTAGCACAACAAAGTCTCAGCGAGTAAGCTCCACAAACGGATTTACTGTTTATCTACCTGCAATGACTGTTCTTTTTCCAAGCTCGACAACAAGAGGGTCCATGGAGAGCGATGAATCGATCACCTTTCCATCCATAAGTTTTCCCTGAACAGAGAAACATACAACGTGAGGCATGACATACCAACAGAAATTTGACAGATTTTTTTTAAAAATGTTTTCCTCTTTGAGAATTTTTTTCCGCATTTCCTAAATGCTTAATATTACGATTTCGGCCTTGGATTGGTTTATAAATATTTTGTTTGTAACGTAAGAAATAGTGCTCAAGTAAAGTCTCCCTTTCCCTTATTACTTTATCGTATTATGAACTGGAGAGGTTCATCAGTTAATAAATATGTAAGAAATGCATGCATGGCAGGACATTTACACAGCATGTTTCAAGCTACACATTATGAGTGATTGAGAATTTCCTCCCGGAAAATGACATCTGTCCTTGCTCATCTTCGAATATTACACAGGCGTTTGGGATGAGATTTTAATCCTGCAAAGGAAAATCCATACAAATATACAAAATACTTAGATATTTCTTGTATGTCTAACTAAGACATTTTCGAAAAAGAAGGAAATGTCATTCACTCCGATTGTGTTTGGTTTAGGCAAGCAGGGGTCAGGGGTCATTTATTTTATAGGTAAACATTATAATAATTATACTAAGCTGTATGACTCTAATGTGTCAAAATGAGGATTCATTCATATCCTGATAATAAAAATGACCTGAAATCAACAAGTGTGGGCTGTGAAAACCGCCAGTAGTAGTCTACTCATATTGATTTAAGTAAGTGTTCACTAACTGTCTGCTGGGCCTCCTTTGACAGATGAAAATATTTAAAAGCCTCCCCCACCCTTTAACATGCACACCAATATCAACATTTTATTGACATATCATAAAGACATTGAATCGTTTAAAAGTACTCTTACATGAAACTTCCTAATTTGTGACGACTACAGTAGATTCACTTCCAACCTAAAGTTTAAATTTACATATATATTTTTTTTAAACTAAACCCCCCCCTCCTCCCTGTCACATCTCTTGTGAGCCCCACTTTGGGAATCACTGGTTGAAGTGGTGTCAGCTCTGATCCACTGGCAGACTGAGCTTGTATTGCTGACGTGTTGCACCGCCCTATCACTCCAAAGCAAAAATTCAGAGGCGATCTTGTCACTCTCAGCGAGACGACGCCAAATGTACCACAATGGCGCACTCTAAACCACAATCTGGCCAGTGGTCACCAAAAGAGCCCTGAGTCTGACCGCATGAGTCTCATCATGAGGACGCAAAGCGGTGTTCACACGGACACGGTGCCACATACACAACAGCTGTATCCGTCACCAGCTGGACAAATGAAACCACAACAGACTACACATTACACTGAACAAATGGAGCTGACGATGTGGAAATGCTCTTCTTGCTTACCGTGTAGTGGATCTTCAGCGTGTCTCCCATTCCGGAAAGTACAGAGCAAGTTTCGGGTCTCACCTTGGGGTCAGAAGAGTTCACTGTTAACGCTGAAGCACTTTTATAGCGTAGGTTGGTGTTACTGTGTTATAGAGCTGCTGTGTTACTGCAGTGTGGCTGTGTACCAGCTGTGTGTATGTGTCACTCACCAGAGTCTCAACCTGCAGCTCTTCAGCTGTATTTTCTTCTGCCCGCGCGAGCCCACAGGTGAGAGCCGCGAGCAGGAGCAGGAAAACGCTGGCCTTCATTGTGAACTACTGGAAAAGATCTGCCATTCAACAACTTCCGAGTGGGCTTCTTCTGCACACGACTGCAGACGGAGAGAGAGAGAGAGGCAAGGGGGGAAGAGAGAGAGATGACTCAGCGCCGCGTAATGCTGATGTGTTATAATACTGGAGCGATAAGGACTAGCGGCTCGTGGACGTTGCCCTTACACCTGGGTGTCCCTGAAGATCCCGCCTCAAACATTCCCCCAGCATCCCATGATCCCATCGGGCTTCTGTTCCGCGGGAGACAAGCGGAAGCTGCGTCGAGTGGAGACGCTAGGGGGCGTTGCTGGAGATCGAGACCCTCACAGTCATCGGGACGTCTCCTGTTCCTATGGTTCAAACAAACGTGCAGCGTACACGCCACGTCGATGCTATTCCCCTCACTAAACCACCTTTAGTACAGGCCTGGCAACTTTGTAGAAGCTATTTTTAACCTGAAAGTATAGAAATAATTTCTCTGTTAAAGTAGGTAAATATTAATAATTATTAAAATAATAATTATTAATATTGAGATTATAATGAGATTCATTTTTATGTTTGTTGGTATGATAAGGTTGTGACCATCACCACTACCATCAGATTGGAATTTCAACGTTCAATAAATCTTATTGGTACCTTCAATTATTAAGCTTGTTACCATTAAAAGAATATGTCCTGTGTTTATCTGTGACCACATTTCTCACAGTCAGAATTTCAAATCTATTTCCCCAGAGGTAGCCGGCATGTGTAGTGTAGGATACTTGTTTGGAGTCCAACTCAAAACTAAAATGAAAACCTGCATAAATAGCCATTCAAGTGTAGAACAATACAGTGATGTTTTTATACAAACAGAGGCAAATAAATTGTAAATTCAACAACAAACCATTGACTATTCTTTTACATATTTTTTTTTTTTTTGTTGATAAGATCCGAAAATGATCTCAGAATTGCAAAAAATACTGTGACATTTTATTTTGTGTTTTTTGTGCATGTTGTGACCCCATGTTAATTGTTTCTTTAATGCATTGTACAGCTGTTACTGTTGACATGCTTCTTCACCTATGACTCACTTTATTTCCCTATTTTTGCTTGCAGCGGAACATATGAGCACCATCACAGATCCTCTGTGACGTGTTATCAGGGTCATTGATATGTCATCACACGACATTATAACTCTGCCTCTTTAACCCTCTAAAATTTCAAATCCAAAGTGTTTCTTGTCAAAGTCCTAGAGTGTGGCTATTAATCCCTAGTACTTGCATTTCAGCCTTTCACACTCAGTTTTTTATTTCATCTTGAAAACTGTGATCTAGTCATCCCCATATTACTCAACTTACTTCCCCTTCTGCTTTATTTGCAACAATGAACCACTACATGACAAAAAATCCAACCACCAACTGTCTGAAGTCCTTTGTTTGCCAGCAGGATATCATAGAAGTTTATTGGCACTGTTTGTGCTGTCCATGCCACATGCTCAGTTAAGTCATTGAGCTTTGTTAGATGAAGCTATTGAGACAGGAGGATGCGTGATGATAAATACACCAGGTGTCATGCCATGCAGCTTGCAGGCTCAAGCAGTGTGTTGTTGATTCACGAGGATCCTTGTCTGTTACAATGGGTTTAACATTATAAATATGTGATCAAATCAACATTTCAGCAATAACAGACAATACAGACTCTTTGTAATAAAACACTGTCAAATGCAGTACAGAAAAAAACACAACTGACTAATTCATGTGGTTTTAACATGTGTCTCAATTGCCATGTTCAACCACTGCATCACATTTTATGAAATCATATTTACACAGGAAATTATTTTCTGTGGCAATAGCACATTATCTCAAACTTTACTTCAATTTAGAAACCAAGCAGTTCCCCTTGTTTTTGTCCAATGAAATTATTGCAAAAGTATTATGCAATACCAAAAACCTTTTTAGAGAAATGTCTGAAAGGTTCACACATTCAACAGGAACTTAATGCACCATTCTGAACAATTTGTAATCCGAATGTAGTGTGAACCATTCACAATTTGACATTGCCAACAATTTGTAAAAACACCTCTTGATGTAATCCTGAAGATCTGTAGTTTAATAAGCATTCACTCATCGTTCATTTGTGCAAGACATGATTAAAAAGGCATACTTTTTTAAACTGTTTTTTTTCCCTTCTCTTGCTGTCTTGTAGTTATTTTATTTTCTATTTCATTCAGTCTCTTATCCATTCATTATTTCAGTGTCAATTAATTCAATATTGCACCCTATGTATGTATGTAGGGTAAAAAACACTGTGACAAACAAATGATAAAATATAGCATCATCCACTACATTACTTTTGTTTAATGTTTCCAGTGATAAAATAAAATTGGATTAACATTTTTGAACAAATATCAATTACAGGTAACTTGACCATTAATTGGTTTTAGTTTCTGGTTTAAGTTTTATTAATTAATGATATTGGTTTGTATTAAGGAAGAACAAAATTAAATATTAGAACAAGTAGCTTAATTATATAATATTCAAACATTTGGGAACATCATCATGTTAATGATTTATCTGTTGTTATCCTATGCAGGGTCACTGTGAGTACATTAGTTTATTATTATAAAAGGCTAGTAGACAACAAGTAGTTTTTCCAAGTCTTATAAAGTCTTATAAAGGTAAATCTGGAATTGAATGAACAAAAATCATGAAATCTGATAGAAGTAGCCCATGTTTATCACAGACATTTAGGCTACAAATCATAGACTGTAAATACATTTGTAAATGTATACAGTCTATGTTAGAAATCTGATTGTTTAAACGTTTGTTTTTTATTTGCACCAAGCTCCTTGTTGGTTTTTCTACTCTCGCGAGATCTCGTTTGCTGCGTTGTCCACTGGAAAGTACCGTGACCACGTTAGGTTGAGGAGGACACCACGGCGAAGGTAAGTGAGGAAACTGACACCACCATCAATTACAACGATAACAGACATGTAGGTCTGAGCAGCTGAGTAAATAATAGGGGTCGAGATGGTTTTGTGGCGTTGACCGGCGTTGTTGGCTGGGTTAGAGCAGGGGACGGCGGCTCTCTGACAGCAGGGTGCCCGGTGAGGTGATGAGAAGGATGGATGAATGGGCTGGATCATCGATTCCGCGGTTAAAGCTTAACTAGACTGACAGGAGAGTGGAGAACACACGAAAACATGTTTAAATTGAGAATGAAATGTTAACCTGATTGGAAGGATGTACCGGGCCGATGTTCACGGATAATAATGGCTGAAACGTTACCTACCGTAGCCTTCACGGCTAACGTAACCTGAGTCACTCGGGGCTGAATTACAGTATCACGTTACCACCGTGGCCTGCTTCTGGTTCAATCCCTCTCTTATTCAGCACCATGGACAGCCTCACATCTACTGACGCTTTAGAGTAGGAATTGTATCTTAGAAGTAACTTTACTTAGTCTGTTAATACTCTGAAACAGCTTCATGATAAATAATATTTTATGAAGCTATATAAATTAAACAAACATTTACCTTTTTCCACATCGAAATGACCGAACAGACATACATTTATGTAATTCTGAGTATTTGCATTGACTATGGCATTAGAAGGAGCACATATCCTCCAACATACCACCTTGTCCAAAGATGCATTTGTGCTTTTAGAGGAAATAATATGGGGAAAAAACATGTCAGCTTGTATTCTATATATTATCTTGTTAGCACATTAGCACACAGAAAGTCGAGACCATAATGTTAATGAAGATAATAAAACTAAATAGTGAAGAGTGAATGCCGTGCCAGTAATATGTGATCAAGTAAATGTCCCATTGAGCTTAGATCATTTCAAACACTTAAATAAGACATTGCTTTTGTTCTCAGACTGTCCATTAACTGAGACTCTCTCCTAGCAGCTGTGTTTGCAAAAGTTTTTTTTTTAACTTACAATCTTTAGATGCATGTTCATTATATGTGTGTACATCCAGACCCCACATCTGAGAAACAGCTGAAATGTGTCCTGATTTCGTCCAGGTGGCTTTGTGATGGGATTTAACGCCCAAGTCGTGCTCAATCTGGTAATGTAGGACATTTTGCATTTGCTCTCAGGGCTTGGCTTTGTTGTTGCAGGCTAACATTTGAAGAAGAGGAAGAAAAAAAAAACAGCAAAAGGGGTCTGAACAGATTGTGCTGCAGCCTGAAGTCATGGCAACAACATGCATATCCTTTGTCCTATGTCAGGATGACTGAGGACGATTAGCATACTTTGCACCTGTCCTTGCAGTATGCATTCAGAAGTGAGAATTTCTGGCTAAGGGGAAGAACTGGTCCATATCATTATCTTCAACATCAGATATTCTGTAACTCCGATGGCAGGTCACATGGCTTAGGGTTAGTCACTGTTACCTTTCCGTTTGTTTTAAATAGTTTATATGGATAGGATACTGTCGCATATCCATTGCAGTCACCTGAATTGAATTAAAATCATATTGTTCCAACTTTGTGATATAATTATATCAACTTAATGCTGCATTGTGATGGTACTTGTGATTTAGTCCTCTAATCAGAACAGCATCTCTGATGAAATGATCACATGACATCATAGCATGCACTTAAAAGCACAACTAAATGGTTGTTTTTTTCCCTCCTCTCAGACTTCCTTTATAATATATCCCAGCTGGACTAATCAAACTTTCCAGAAATAGTATAAAGATTAGAGCCGCAGACTGAAGATTAAGAACGTCATCTGAATCATGGGGAACATTTTTGGGAATTTGCTGAAGAGCCTCATAGGGAAGAAGGAGATGAGGATTTTGATGGTCGGGCTCGATGCCGCAGGAAAAACCACAATTCTCTACAAGCTCAAGCTGGGGGAAATTGTCACCACAATTCCGACAATTGGTATGTATGGGCACAGTCAAACTGAAATGTCTTCTAAAGTCATGCACTCTTCTCTATGTCTGCTTTACAAGTAACACATGTCGTTCTTAAAGGGTTTAACGTGGAGACAGTGGAGTATAAGAACATCAGCTTCACCGTGTGGGACGTGGGTGGGCAGGACAAGATCCGCCCACTATGGAGACACTACTTTCAAAACACACAGGGTGAGCCGAGCAAATCAGAGGATAGCACCACAACAAGACATTAACCCTCTCCTCTTCTGCTTCATATATAATCAACTTTTC